AAATTTCAGAAAGTCTAAACTTGCATAGGGATTTTAGGGGGTCTCCAGATCTTCAGGACGGGGTGCTATATAGCAACATACTATATACGGCATACAAATGGGAGCTGCCAGAACTGTTCTTTGCTTGAGTCCTGCAGACATTTTCTATTAGTTTGTAACATTTATCCTGACCATGCCAGACTTGGTGAAAACCTTCTTTATCTAGTTTGTAAACTGCTGCATGTTCAAGTTCTTAGTCCCCTGACCCAACAATTCTAGAATGCTGCCTTTGAGGATACAAACTTTTCTAACTGCAGAACTGTAGTAGATTTCAGAAAATAAAACACACCCTCTAGTGGAAGCTCGCTGCAATTACAGTCATGCCAGGCAGCCTGTGGAATACCGGTTGTCGATGAACCAAAGTCTTCTCTCTAAAAATGATCAGACTTGTGAATAATAAACCTGATATGGAGATTTACTGCTATAGTGCATGCCAAGCCGACTGTCCTCTTTCTCCTCATCCCCTCTAAGTAGGACAAGTTGTTCTCTGAGCAGACAATACCTGGGTTCTAATGTTGTGGCCTAACTGGCCAGAAATAGTTTGTTCCGGGAGCCAGAAGAGACAAATAGGCAGAAAGATCAACTCCAGACAGAACTGATCACTTAGATTTAGATGGGCACTGGGGGTATACACACCCTGCTGTCTGTACTGTCATAGATCAGCTTTGCAGCTGATCTGTTAGTTGTAGTTCAACAAATATCTGTCACAGATCAGTTAAGCTGTTCTGTTACATGTAGTCCCACTAACATGTACTGTGTTCCTACCAAGCCCCCAGTATGCCTTACAGCTATCCAGCATGTATCCTCCATTGTTTCCTGTGTACCAACTCCTGAATTGTTTCTGGTTATCCATGTCAGCTGCCTGTCCTGACCTGCAGTTTATTTCTGGTTATCCATGTCTGCTGCCTGTCCTGACCTGAGGCTTGTTCCTGGTTATTCGTTCCTGCTGCTTGTCCTGACCTCTGGCCTGTTCCTGGTTATCCATGCCTGCTGCCTGTCCTGCAGCATGTTCCTGGTAATCCATGTCTGCTGCCTGTCCTGACCTCTGGCTTGTTCCCAATTATTCCCATTTGCTGCCAGCTCCGACTTCTGGCATGCTCCCAACCATCTGTGCCACAAGTGTAGGCTGTTGGCTTACACTTTTAGGGTAGTCATATTATACTTCTTTGGGGTGTCCCTTACTGTGTAGCTAGAGGGTCTACACATGTGTAGTTGGCATCCTGACAACAGCCAGCTTTTATATCTTTTGGGGACTCCGGTGGTGAGATTTCTCCATTGTAGTTTCTATAGCTGGCCATAAGCTAATAGATTTCTTATGTACAGCCCGCTGATTGCAGCTGATCAGACCCAAACAAAATGGACAATTGGGAAATAAGGGACAGAGGAATTTGGTTCCAAATAAGGAAATGTTGGGAGCTGTATTATGGGGGGGGGGGGGGGTGGTGTATATGTGACAATCTGCTTAGGACTTAAGCCATACACTGGGCGAATTTCAGTCCTGCTGACTTGGCCAGTGTGTGGCCTAGTTGGCACCCCTCCGTTTAACAAAAGTCAATATTTCAATCAACTTTTGTTAAAGGAGCCGGTCCTAAAATTCTCAGCCGAACAGTGACTGTCATCTGTAATACAAAAGCCCAGCCAGTGGGGATTCAGACATTAAGGCCCCCATTCACACCAGGGCGACAGCGTTTTTAGTGCGTTTTAGCGCGCGCTTCAGCACTGAAACGCCATTAAAGACACACAGAAAAAATGATCAGCCAGCCTTACTGGGCTCTTGGGGCACAGAATTTAGCAGCTCTGTAAGCACCACATGTTGTCTACTATAATACAAAAAGGATACATAGTTACATAGTATTTGAGGTTGAATAAAGACACAGGTCCATCAAGTTCAACCTGTGTGTGTCTGTATATACAGGACAGATAGGATAGATAGATAGATAGATAGATAGATAGATAGATAGATAGATAGTTAGATAGATAGATAGATAGATAGATAGATAGATAGATAGATAGATAGATAGATAGGATATCCTTGTGTGATCTTGTTTTCAAGAGTACCTGTACCCCGGTATATTATAGTCCAAATGATTTTTGAATGATTCAATACTCTCTGCTGATACCACGGTTTGTGGCAGCGAGTTACAAAATGTACCCGCTCTAACTGAAAAGAAGCCCCTACGCCCATCTGGTTAAATCTTTTTTCCACCTTCTCCACAAATTTTAGGCGGTGGCCTTTAGTCCTTGTTATTGAGTTTACTGTAAAAAGTTTTTTGCTGATGTTGCCATCACCAAGTATACAAGTAGGTTAAGTATGCCTGTTGTATCTTAGTACAAATTTGCAACAGTATTAGTTTTTGTGTTTTAATCATGTTACAGTCCTGCACTGTTTAATGACAGCAACCCTAACAAATGTATCGCGTTATGTCAGAGCAACAGGGTGGACATAGATATTTTAGGAGAGGCGCTGACATGTTGGTGACGCTCAGAGTGCACAGAAACAAACACTATGAGACGGAGGAAGGAGAATGTCAGGAATGAAGTTTGTCTTGGGATGAGTACCCAGGGCAAAGAAAATGACATCATAGTCTTGGCTAAACACTTGTAAGAATGTAATGTTACATTTCTACAGAGAGAGAGATAACCTGGAGACAAAGGAGGAGATTAGAAAGCGGCAGCACAGAGAGCTCAAAGCTAACACACTATACTGGTTACCCCAAATCAATCTAGGTATTATAGACAGCCTATAGAACCTTCAGCAAGCATTGTTTTACATTGTGCATTGTATCTGATAATATCTTGACACAATTTTCACATTATAAGAGAACCTTCAGGCAAATACTTTAAACCACCATTTAATCCAAATACGCACTCATTGACAGCATTGTAAAGGTGCCCATACACTGTACGATTCTCGTACGAGAATCCCGCGATCGTACGAGAATCGTACAGTGTATGGAAGGCGTGCGACCGTTTCTACTGTACGGTCGCACGTCTTCCATCGAACAAGCAGGC